AGTATCACCCTAACCATCCCCTATGCTCCTCCCAAGACCTCCTGCTTTCCAGCTCCATCGTCAACTCCTCCCATGCTCGCCTCCAGGACTTCTCTAGAGTCTCTCCATTTCTTTGGAACTCTCTACCCCAACCTCTCCGACTATCTCCCACTGTGACTGCCTTTCGGCGATCGCTAAAGACTCATCTCTTTAGGGAAACCTATCACACTTCAAACATTGAACTCTTTCTCAAACAATTCATCCCCACAAAGCTACCTCCGCATGTATCACTTGCCCCTCCCTCTTAGATTGTAAGCCCTCAGGGGCAGGGCCCTCCTTACCATCTTGTCTTGAATTGTATTGTAATTATAATGTCTTCCCTATATTGTAAAGCGCTGCGCAAACTGTTGGCGCTATAAAAATCCTGTATAATAATAATAACTACATCTAAGTTTGTGTTGCTGTTTGTAGCCCCTTTGAGAAAAGGTCTTGAAGTGTTCGGAAATCTCATCAATGGGGATGCAAACAGCGATAAAACTACTTTGTCTGATGTTTACATTTTAATGATTGTTGATTATTCTAGTCTCAATTTAATTTTGTCGTTAATATTTGGGACTTTAATCAAGTAGTGGGAAAGGAAAGCATAAAACCAAAATCTTCAAGCTCTCCTTTCCCAGAATACACAACGTACAAACCCTTGTGACACACTGATATAGAACTAGTACTGGCTGTGCACAGTGACGTAAATTAGGCCTTCTTTATTCATTTATTGTGTTAGACAAATGTTCCCTCCATACTCTTGGAAGTCTTTAAATAGCCTGGACATGAAACCTGAGTTCTAGCAATTTTTACTGATCGTGCAAGAAAGGAAAAGACTAACTGAACAAAGTAAAATTCCTGCAGGACAAAAAACTACTTGGCCTGTTTAGCAGAATTCGTGGTTTTGTTTCCCAGTTTCAGGTTAAAGTTCCAAACATAAGAACGGTACACATGTGTCCATGACGTCCCAGCCAGCATGTCTGCGTATCTGGGCATATACTTGAACAATGTTTCTAGGCTTCCCCTGATACAGCTAGTTTCCTGCAAGGTCATCATCTTACATTTCTCCCCTGAATTATTTTCTGGACAAAAGAAACTGTAAACACATTTTGCTCTGAGCAACACACAAAATCGCTGTTCCAGCAACACACTAACTCGGTTGAATAGTCATATTCTTCAAAGCCTAACACAAGCTATTAAAGTGAAAATTTCTGTCAAGTTTCTACTTATGCTGGGGAGATTTTCCCTAATTTCCTATCCCTGTGAATCCACTTACCATAAATGGGGGATGCGCTAGTTACTGGGGCATAAAGGCACAGACAGCAATAAAAACATTGTCAGAAGTAAATCCTTTCACACACTACTAAAATGTATGTTTGTCTTTGCTCCTTTGGAAAGATCCTGACAAAAAGTGAGGGGAAATCTCTAGCAACACAGGTGGCAATTAAAACCCAACAGAAGCTCTAACCCTTCCCCACTCAATCCAAAACTAAAGCTAATCTTTGTCACCTCTGTGGAAAATAATTTAAACCTGAGGAAGTTAATACTCTGTAAAGTTAACGCGTATCTGAACCCAAGAACAAAAATGTAGTGTTATATCTTAATAGCCCTTAGATGAGGTGGCTGCATTTGTTTTATTTTTTAGACTTCTTGTCTTTATTTTCATCTGCTGATCCTGCCAATAACACAATTCCTGCCCTAGGGTGACAATGGCCACTCACTGCACTGCATCTGTGGAGGAGCAGTGTTATCGCCCTAGCATAGGAAGTGTTTCTGAACTACAGAACACCAGCCCTTCTCCATAACATAGGGTAGAGGTTTTCACAGAATGAGCTGGGAACAATGCCGACAAAACTCAGCAAAGGTAGAGTGTACAGGAAACTATCAGCTCAAACAATGTCTAGCAGATTCAACAGGTATTTGTTCTGCATTAGTCGAACAGATATAACTGAACTCTTTCAATGGTATATTTATCGGGCAAAAAAGGTCCCAATAAGAGAAGTTTATTATTAGGGCTTACATATACAGGTGAAACTCGAATAATTAGAATATTGTGCAAAAGTAATTGCAGTAAGTGCTGCAAAAGGGGCCCAAACCAAGTACTGAGTACATATGCATGCTTGTACTTTTCAGAGGTCCGATATTGTTCTATGTACAATCCTTGTTTTATTGATTGCATGTAATAATCTACGTTTTTGAGGTTGTGGATTTGGGGTTCTTGGGGTTTTCATGAGCTGTAAGCCATAATCATCACAATTATGACAAATCACGCCTTGAATTATCTTGCTTTGCATGCAATGAGTCTATCTCATATATTAGTTTCACCTTTTAAGTTGCATTAGTGAAATAAATGAACTTTGCACGATATTCTAATTATTCGAGTTTCACCTGTACTTCATAATAATAATATAAGAGGTTGGCCACAACGAGTACCACATCACTGATCATGATGTTATTTTTAGAAGTAAATCAGTATTATTTGTCTGAAAGCAACAATTTAAGAATCAGGTTTATCACGTCATGTTAACAAATATAGTAGGAGACTTTGAGGCTGCAGATAACAATAACTAGAGGTCGAAGCTGGTAGCTTCTGCTCTTGTAATGTGTGTAGACAACATTGTATAAGCTGGAATTACCATTTAAGCTTTATAACCCCAAGTTATTAATAGCTTGCAATGCCTAAATCACAGTATATAAAAAAGTTCATTAAAGATTAATACTTAATTTAAACAATGGAAACAAATCGCTAAAACCAACATAAATAAAGTATTATTTATGGTAACATGTTGATTAACAATTGCCCTATGCCTCTATTAAAAATAAATATATCCAATGTCATGCATACAATACATTTTCTAAAGGGAAATGAATAATGTCGTTTTAAGATTGCAAATATTATCTGTCCAGGACGCGGAATAATGCATTGCAGATGTCTGAAATAATAAAAAAACTCATGATAAAAATCCCTGGCCATTTTGTTTCTCACTGGGGTAACATAATGAATTTCTTTGCGTACACATCTTACTAACATATGTTTATAGTCACTTACAAACTTTTAGACTTGACACTTTACAAGTCTGCGTAAATCACGAGATGAAACGGTCCCCTGCGTTACAAGCTGGACATGAGGTTACACTGGAAAGAGTTGATGATAAATCAGTGCCTGGAAGAATATGTTATGGGTTGCCTATTTTGGAAAGCAGATACATGGTAAATAAGGCTAGAGAGCAGGGGATGGGATTTGAAACATATTTGTCTTATTTAAAAAAAAAGTATTTAGTGGAAAAGGAAATAGAATTTTGAAAGAGTATCTTAGTCACAGTAACTAAGGATGCACCGATATTGATACTGGTGTCAGTATTGGTGCCGATACTGAGTTTTTGGGCGAGTACCAGTACTCGCCCAAATGTTGCCGATACTTATCCCGATACCGGAACTTCCAGAATCAGGAAGCCACCTCCATGCTCCCTCGTCAACAGGGAGCTGGCTTCCTGATTGGCCGGGAAGCCGTCTCCATGCTCCCTCGTCACTTGATGACAAGGGAGCATGGAGCCGGTTTCCCGGCCAATCAAGATGTTGGGCGGCATGTAATGGCTCACCGCCTGGCTTCCTGTGTGGTCGGGAGGCTGGTCAATAAGGTAGCCAGGCGTCAAGTCATTACTCTCCCCCCGGTTTCCTGATTAGCCAGAATGCCGGCTCCATGCTTCCTCGTCAACTGGCAATAGAGATCACATGATACACAATAGCAGAAGATTTCTGACTGCAAAACAAACACAAGTATAAATCATCAATGCAGCTTAGTCCAGGGTCTTATATGTATGTGCAATGGGTGCTCCATTGCCTTCTGGTGTTCTGTTTTAAGTAAGAGGTTATAGTACCATAAACTTTTAGAAGTAAATGAGATATACACGATCTGTTTGTCAACATTGTGGATTATGTCCAGTTTGGCAACACACAACTCATGGAAAAGTTAACATTTCCCATTCCATCCATGAATGTTTCACCATCAGGTCACAGTACAGATTTCCCACAGTAAGCACAAATAAGCTCTCTGGGGACATCAAGAAGGATTTTCATTCACTAGATGTCAGCCTTCATTTGTATGATTATAATAATGCTATAACTTAGCTCATATCCCTACCAATTGTACAGCATTACATTGTAAGCATTCCCAAAAAATAAAATGTTCATATGTTCAAATGACAATTTGCATGCAAACTTCCCAACTGTCCTTTATTTGAAGCACTTGCCCTCTTTTGGAGCCAAATCTCTCTGTTCCCCGTGCATCCTTTGTTGTTCATCTTTTTGGTCAATTATAGGAATTATATTAGTTGTATTGTACGCACATGGCACTTGAATACCTTCAGCCAGGGAATGACACCTGCCAGTGGCAAGATACTGCAGATGGCAGCTGAATGTAATTACAGCAGGTAGTGGGCTGAGGCAATAGCCAGTCTGTTATTGGTCATTTCAAATTGCAATAGCCAATAGCAGGCTGGCTATTGCACCCAAACGGAAAAAAGACACAGCGCTCTCATGGGGATGTGGGGAATCCGCTGCGCTTAGCAGCTGTGCCAATGTATTCTGAAAGCTTGGGCAGGAATTTTTTGTATATATGCATATGTGTCTTCTGAGTGTGTGGACATTGGAGGGGATATGGATAAATGGTGGGGGTGTTTTTTGTATGACTATGGAACGGGATGTGCGAGGGGTGATAGGAATTCTTTCGGCGGGGATCCGCCGGGTTTAGAAAAAATGACAGGTGGGCGGAGTAACATAGACGGAATCTCCTGCAATTGGCAACTGTGTCAGTGTCTACTGTTTGCTCGGGCAGGAATTGCTTGTTTATTCTAGGAGTGTGGACAGTGAAGGGGGTGCTGTTAAGTGATGGGGGGTGTGTTTGTATGTGGCCATAAACAATAACGTGTGGGGAATGGCCAGAGTTCTTTGGGCGGCGATCCGTTAAATAAATTCAGTCTTACCTGGTATTAACCTTAGCTGATTCCGTATTCTTAGGGCACTTTTTCCTGAACCATCTTCACACTCATCCTCATCGTCACAATCACCACTTTGTGACTCCTCCTCTTCTGCAGTTCTGCCAATGGTTTTCCTTCGCTGTGTTGACATACCCTTTAAAAGCTGAAGACACATGAGAAGTTATAAAGAAGAAAAGCCTAGAATGATAATACATTAGAAGCAATGCCAAGATTATTTATACGAGCCTGAAACTTAAAGTGAAACTCAAGAGTTAAATCTTAAAAACGTATTCAAGTACCTTAAAGTGACGTTAAAACCCTCAGATTTTTTAACATAAAACAATACTGTAATGTGTGCCTTACTGTAATCCATGGTTGTTTCCCTTCTCTTTGCTGCTCTTCCTTTTAAATCTGTATCTGTTCTCATGCTGGGCAGAACTTCTGTTTTGCAGCAGACTGCCTTGTCTCTGGAATGGCTACATGGTGTCTGTGTGTAGGTTTGCAACCTGAGCCAGCACTACAGGAAGAGGCAGTCAGCTGCAAAGGGAAGTTCTCCCCAAGCATGAGAAGACATGAGGATTTAAAAGGAAGAGCAGCAAAGAGAAGGGAAACTACCATGGAATACAGTAAGGCACACATTACAGTATTGGTTTATATTAAAAAATCTGAGGGTTTAATGTCACTTTATTAACAAAAATGTATCTTATTTGTGTATCACTCGGCTGTAAATCCTCAAGTCATCTCTGAACTCATGCTGACATCGTCCTTTCTGCTGGAGGGTGGCTACTTTTGTTCCCCATGGTCCCTATATGTGTTGTAAAGTAACCACCGCTCCAAGCTCAATCTAGGGCTGTAACAACTAATTGATTAAATTGATTATAATCGACCCTGTTGTCAACAATTCTCATTATCGATTAGTTGATTGTTCAACTAGTTGCAGCTGCCGCCGCCGCTATGCTTCTCCGTTCTCCTGGGGACAAAGATCGCTGCAGCCGGCACCAGCGGGGAGGAGAGAGCGCTGGGCCTCTGCAATACCCCGCTGGTGCAGTCGTTACTCCGTTGCTGCTCCTCCGTGCTGCCATTGTTCCTCCGCTGTTCCCCCGTGCCCCCTCTTCTGCGGGTGGTAGACAGCCGGTGTCAAAGCTACCTGAATGGCTAAGAGCAATATCCAGCCTGCTATTAGTTATTTTAAATTACAATAGCAGGTTGGCTATTGCACCCGCCCACTGCCTGCTGTCAATCAGCAGAGGAGGACCTGAAAGAGAACTTTCTCCTTCAGTTCCCTCCTCTGCTGATTGACAGCAGGCAGAGGGTGGGTGCAATAGCCAACCTGCTATTGTAATTTAGAATAACCATGATGGCTGGGCTTTTATAATACAGTAATACCTTGGTTTACGAGCATAATTCGTTCGGGAAGCATGCTTGTAATCCAGAGCGCTTGTATATCAAAGCGAATTTCCCCATAGGAAGTAATGGAAATTCAGATGATTCGTTCCACAACCCAAAAATATTCATATAAAAAAAATTACAATACAGTACTGTAATATAATACTGTACAAAATATAAAGAAAAATAAACCAATTACCGGTACCTTCAAGAGAGAGGAGGATTATTGTGTAGGACGACTTGCACTATCACTAACGGAATCACTGCTATCTTTTGACTCAATGGAATCTTTTTCATTTCATGAAACCTTAACAAGGAATCTATCCAATGGGACATTGCATTGTCGTTAAATAGAATAGAAGGGGAGGGGGAGGGGGCGGGTACAGCTGGCTCTGCCTCTAGATAGGCATAATTGTCGGGATCCGCTTCAGCTGCGGCGTCTCAGTATACCGCGAGCCATAGCTTGCGTTATACTGAGCTTAGGGCGACGGGAGGACGCTAGTTTGTGTCCTTCCGTTACCCTAAGGAGAACTATGGGGAAAAGCCCTAACCCCATAGTTCTCCTTTAGATAACACTAAACTGATGAACAGTAAAAGCGTTTTAATCGTCGTCTATGGGCGTCTTTTGCAATTTTAAGGCTTGACATGTTTGGTGTCTATTTACCCGACGTGATTTTTACTAAAAATATGGTTAAGAATAAATGTTTTATAACATTTATGGTACTTTTTTCATTATATAGTAAAAAATAATAATCCCGCCCCTCCCCCCGTGGTGATTATATACCTACGTCCGTTCTGCCAGTCAGCGCTGGCAGATCGGAGCGGGGAGAGAGGAATCCAGAAAGCTCTGCCTTTAGCTGCAGTTGAACTACAAGTTTCATAAAGTATTTTCGGCTCAGTGCCACACAATTCCCAAGCCTACCTTAACGTCCCTCCCCCTAGTAATATTTGAGATAGCCGTGTTGAAATTAGCATCAAATAAGCATCAGTTGCAAAAATTTCTTGAGCCCTACCCAACTTCAACAGCATGTAGCTCAGCGCCCAGAGGGCATTCATATGAAAGGACTAGCCGAAGGTCAGAGAGCAGCTGTCTCTAGGATTAGATCTGAACTCTTCAGGACAAGTGCCATGACTTTGAAATGGAAGTGGCTTCAGTCATCGAACACCTTTCAAAGGCAAAGAGGCACCCTAATCTAACCGTGGCCAGCTCTGTAGTGATATAAAGCTGGAACAGTATAAACAAGAGATAGAGTGGTTGGAAATAGCTACTATACTTTGCAAGTCTCTTGAACATCAAGGGCTCAACTTAATTTATTCCAAAATGAAAGATGGAATAGGTGTGAGTGGTTTAAAGGACACAACTTCTACTTCTGGTTGTTAGAAACCGACAAACAATAACTGTGTGCTAAAAAATAAAAGCCTCTTATATATAAAATATTTCGTTAAGAAGCTGCAGCATTTTGTTTTTATCACTTTGCTATTATAATGGTGTTCTTGAGTTAAAATCTTTAATCTTTATAATCTTTAAACTTTACATTGTTAATGTAATTTCTAAAGTTATATTTATTACCTTTAAAAAGACCCTGTGCCATACTATTAATATCAACAACAATCTTCCCATTAGACTATATGTTACATGACCTTATTTTGTGCATTTAATCTTCCTGTAATTATTGATGATATTGGATATTGAACAGGCCTGAAACTACTGCTGGGCATCACCATCTTTTTTTTGTATGATAAGTATTTATTGAAAAAAGTTTTTGCAAATAAACAAAACAAAACAAAAAATAAACAACACAAAAATCTACAAAATAATACATCACAATTGTAGACATTTAGGGAAAGACCATAACAACAATGACACCAATGGGGGCATGACACGCGGCGCAGGGCAGGAAGCGCAGAAGAGACCTCTACGCTCGAGTTCCTGCACCCACGTACAATGGGGAGCCAGGCATAGCGTGTAGGGAGGAGAGGGCAGGTGGTGCAGGAAGGGAGGAGGGTGAAAGCAGGTAAGGGTGAAGGGGCTGACTGGGTTGGTGGGATAAAAGGGAGGGGGAGTAGGAGGTGGGAGA